CGAGGCCGTGAAGGGAGCGCTGGAAAGCGGGACAAGCGAGAACGCCAAAATCCAAAACACTCGGAAAACGAGTGGATCTTGCCTTCCAGGGCCCTCTTGAGGAGCCTCTTGAGTCCGTCCTGGAGCGTGTTGGAGTCCTCGTCGGCTGTCTTGAGGGCATCTTGGGCGTCTTCGGGGCCTCGTGGGACCGTCTTGGGCCCTCTCGGGACCCCCTTAGCCTGTCATGGCCTGCTTCGGGGCGGGCTCGGGCCGCCTCGGGAACTCTGGCCCCCCCCCCCGCAACCCCCGGTGGGCACCGATGGGGGGAACAGGCAGGGGCCCGCCCCCCCCCCCCGCGGGCCTGATCCGAGATAGAGAATCATGTTCCCGAGAAGCTTTCTGGGAGCATGATTTGTTCGGCTTTCTAAGAGGGGGGCCTCTGGGGGCTTACCGAGGGGCGTATTTTGGCCTTGTCGGAAAGCCTATTGGAAACATGGTTGGGGCGGTGGGGGCGGAAGCCCAAAGAATCATGCTCCCGGAAAGCTATCTGGGAAATGCGATTTACCTAAGTGTCTTGGGGGCCCGCAGGGGGCTTCCATGGGGGCCCCTTGGGGGTCTCTTGGGGCTTCCGGGGGGCCTCTTGGGAGCCTCACGGGGCTTCTTGGGAGCCTCTTGATGGCCTCCGGGGGCGTCCTAGGAGCCTCTCAGGCCAGAGACCTTGAAATGTCACGCTCTTCGGGCCCTTTGGGTCGCTCTTGGGGGCGCTCTCGAGGCCCTCTTGTCGTATCTGGAGAGCCTCCTGGGCCGTATCTGGGCTTTCTTGGGAGCCTCTTCGGCCGTCTTGAAGCAAGCGATCTGAAGGGCCTCTGACGCAGTCCGGGACCGTGGGGAGGCGGAACACGGGAGAGCGCAAGAATGCTTCAAAAAACGTTGGAAAATGTATGATTTTCGGCTTCTGGGGCCACTTGGAAGGGCCTCTGGGGCGTTTTGGCGGCGTCGTCGGCCGTCCTGAAGCCATCTTCGGCGTGTCCGGGGCCTCTGGGGGCTGTCTTTGGGCGTCCTGGGCACCCGGAAATCGAATTAGACCTCGCCATCCCTGGGGGACTGCGATCTGTGAAACGGTCGCCACTTTCGAGGCCTGCTGGGGGGCCCAGCACAGTGACGCCACGGGCGGATTCAAACTAGACCTCGCCATCCCTGGGGGGCGGCGAAATGTGAAACTGTCGCCTCTTTCGAGGCCTGCTGGGGGGCCCAGCACAGTGACGCCACGCGCGGATTCAAATTAGACCTCGCCATCTCTGGGGGGCTGCGATCTGCAAAACTGTCGCCACTTTCGAAGCCTGCTGGGGGGCCCAGCACAGCGACGCCACGCGCGGACCCAAATTAGACCTCGCCATCCCTGGGGGGCTGCGATCTGTGAAACTGTCGCCACTTTCGAGGCCTGCTGGGGGGCCCAGCACAGTGACGCCACGCGCGGACCCAAATTAGACCTCGCCATCCCTGGGGGGCTGCGATCTGTGAAACTGTCGCCACTTTCGAGGCCTGCTGGGGGGCCCAGCGCAGTGACGCCACGCGCGGATTCAAATTAAACCTCGCCATCCCTGGGGGGCTGCGATCTGTGAAACTGTCGCCACTTTCGAGGCCTGCTGGGGGGCCCAGCACAGTGACGCCACGGGCGGATTCAAATTAGACCTCGCCATCCCTGGGGGCTGCGATCCGTGAAACTGTCGCCTCTTTCGAGGCCTGCTGGGGGGCCCAGCACAGTGACGCCACGCGCGGACCCAAATCAGACCTCGCCATCCCTGGGAGGCTGCTGTCTGTGAAACTGTCGCCACTTTCGAGGCCTGCTGGTGGGCCCAGCAGAGTGACGCCACGCGCGGACCCAAATTAGACCTCGCCATCCCCCAGGCTGCGATATGAGATCCCCGCTTTCGAAGTGGCTAGGATTGCTCAGGGATTGTAACTAATCAGCTTTATCTAGTCCTTGTCCTGTAGCCAGTGTCCTGCGAGTCTGCCGAATTCCGTCTGCAGACATATGTAACCCTCGCTCCGTCATCGCCCCCCTCATAAAGTGTCCTAAACTATTTGCGCCCCGCGTTTGCGCAGGGGTTGGGTACGTCGCCAGGGTAATTTGAGAGGTGAGGGGGGTCTGAATTGTGGTCTGTTGTGCAAGAGTAGACCGGGGGCCAAACTTGGAACAAAAAACGAATTGTGGGATTTCCATGCTTTTCCAGTTCCTCGGCGCTGCTCGGCGCTGTCTTTTGTTTGTGCCTCGCGGGTTTTGTTAGCCGGGCCCCTCAGGGGTGTGGGATCTTCCGGACCCCCTGGAGCTTGTGGAAGCCTCCTGAAGGCCTGGAGAGCCGCCGGAAGGGTGTCTCGGGCTGCGCGGGAGCGTGTTGGGCCGTTCTTTACGTTCTGGGGGCTCCTTGAGGTCGTCATGGGCTGTCCTTCGGCGTCTTGGGGTCTTCCCCCCGGGAAGCCAGGAGGCGCGATACCGGCCAGATGTCAGGGGATGTGTGGGACCCTCGAGTAGGAGTCCCACTTTGAAAAAAAAAGGAATTCTGGGGATTTCGATTTTTTTTAACATCCTCGATCTTCGAGGGTTGGAAGCGGGAATCCCGAACCCAGAGTTGCGAGGATGCTTCACGCGAAAATAGCCAGACCACCATGTGACACGGCATCTCGGAGGCCAGCGTTGCGAGAATGCCTCAAGCCAAAGTGGCCTCACCACAATAGGGCACGGCATCTCCAAGGCCAGAGACTGACCGCCGCGGGAAACTTTGGGGCCCCCGCCCAGGCCCCGAAGGTCACGAAGCGCTGAAGGCCTTTGTAGTAGAGAACCCTGAAAATTCAGAGAACGCTTGTGCGTGCATATGCATCGGCATGTGCGAGCATGTGCGGGCGCGGGGGTTCAGCGCATGTGCGTGCATGTGCGGGCCCGCGCTGTCGTCCGTAGGGGGGGGGACACAGGCGAGTGCGTGCATGTGCCACTGATCGATCTGCGAGTTCCGCACATGTTCCGCATGTGCGGGCATGCGCGTGCATGTGCATCGGCATGTGCGAGTATATGCGGGCGCGGGATTCAGCGCATGTGCGTGTATGTGCCACTGACCGATCTGCGACGTTCGCACAAGTTCCGCATGTGCGGGCATGTGCGGGCATGTGCGTCGGCATGCGCGGGCATGTGCGTCACAACGCATGCAGCAAAACCCAGTGCACAGAACCCCGCACATGCCCACGCACGTGCGCACAATACAACATTCATACCAAAGCGCCCGCACATACCGGGCACATGCCTGGCACATGCTGCGCACATGCACGCACATGCCCGCGCGAAAACGGCCGCACATACACCCGCCCAGGAGTATAGAAGTGAGTGCGGTGTATCCAGCCGCCGGATGCCGAAACCTCGCGTGAGGACCAGGTGACCGCCGAGCCCACGAGCCCAGTAGCCCAGGCTGGTGGGGTTACCCGAAGCGTTTAGAATTTGTTTCAATGTTTTTCGGATTCTCGCATTCTCAAGCTTAAGAGAAAATAAGAAGACCCAAGGAAGAGGCTACCAAGACGAGCCCAGAGTTGAACCGAACTGGCTCCAAGAGGACCCGGCACGGTCCACGAGGGCCCCAAGACGGCCCAGAAAGGCTTCGACATACGGACTCCGAGTGCGCCAGACGGCACAAGCGCGACCTGAGACGGCCCAAGAGAGGACCCAAGATGCCCCCAAGAAGGCTCAACAGGTTAGACAAAGAGCCTCCATAGAGCCCCAACGACGGCCCCAGAGCGCGCCTCCCCATGGTACCCCCCACAGCGGGTTCCCCAAGAGCTGGGGGAACAAGCAGTTCCCCAGTGGCTGCACTTCCGCTCGGCATTTCGCAGCACGCGCTTCAAAAAGGCAGGGGGCGGCGGTGACTCGCCACAGGCGTCTGGGATAATTATCTTCTATCTCGGCAATTGATGCTATCTCGGCAATTGATGCCCACGCGGCGGTCTGGTCATCGTCTGACCTTGCAAGGGTATGATTGAATGCCTTCAGGCGCCCTGGCCCTCAATGAACCACGAACAACACGGTCTTCTCCCCTGTCGATCTCCAGAACGAAGCTGGGAACAGGACACAATCAGATCGGGATAACTCGAGAATCTTTGATATCCAGCGGTTCTGGAGGTTGTATGCGCGCCGCAGCCGTTCTAGAGCGTCGTTACAGAGCGTTCTGGAACGCTCTGAAGAGATCAATCCCTTCTCTCGCACCGCCCGACGCAGTCTTCTCCTCATGTACATTGCTGCAGCGTTTTTTCCCCAATGCAACATTACGCTCGTTACAGGGCCAGATATTAGCAAACACGCTTGGATTCCAGATGTGAGAAGAAGCCAACCCTGTTTGAGCAAACGCGCGGACTCCATTACGATTGTGCAGCGAGCGTGTGTTACCAAAGGAGCCTCCATGCATGAATGCCTGCACCGACATGCGAATGCCCTCAGCAAACACCCTGGACAGCTCGGTGCCAACACCTGAGCTGTCTCGCCTCGATATGATGGCCGCTTGTCGTGGCTCCTCCTCGTCCTCCTCGTGCTCCTCTTCTGCAGAGACGTCGCCTGACCACCTCACCGATCCTGGTCGGGCCCATCCTGGGCCCAGGGCCCAAGATGGGCCTCTCCTGGTTTTGCCAAGGAGGCACGCCCACCGATCCGGAGCCCAGGAGCGGTAAGGTGGTCAGTTGACGCCCCCCCCGATTTGAGTGCCCGTCCTCTTCTAGAACAAGAGAGACGCCATAAACATAAACTTGTGGCGCTCCGCGCGGAGTTCTCGGATCTGCGCCAGACCCCCCTCCTCGGCGCGTGGAGCGCGCCAGGGGCGGCGCCGGAGGCGCCGCCCAGGGGGGGCCCAGCGCGGATCCGAGAAATCCGCGCGGAGCGCCGAAAGTGTATGCTCATGTGCTTTTTCTTCTTCGATGTTCTTCCTCCGACCCATCGTGTACCACTCGCTTCGCTCCTCATCGCCACGCTCCCTCGTTCGGCAGAGCTCCTTCTGCAGCGCCGCGCTCTCGACTCTGAGCCGCTGGGCCTCCCGGCTGGTCTCGTTGAGCTGCTGCCGCGCGAGCGCGAGGGCCTGTGCGGGCGGTGTTGGCTCGGGTGTTTTCCCTTGGGCAACGGACCGTTGTGAGCATCGTTTCACCGATCCCTATCCCAACTCGCGTGGCCTGGGCCCCACTGGCCGGTTTACCCCCCTAGGTGGGGATATAAGGAGTTTCTGTCAGATTTCGAAGGGTATATCCCCAACTGGAGGGGGATGAGATGGCGGGGGTCTAGATGGGGATGGGGATTGTGATGGGGATGGGGATCGGTTAAACGATACTGACGTTGTACTGTTTTCTCAACCGCAGCTGCCGTGCAATTCGAAGAGCCGCCAGGCAAGACAAGAACACCCCACGAGCCTACCTGCGATAGGCAAACTCATGAAGGATAATATTGTGGCGTTATGGATCGTAAAAATCTTAATGACTTCTGCCGTTCTTCGACTCACGCTGGAGCGGCCGCGAATTGCTCCAACTTTCCCTGGAGATCTCTGGGTTGACCTGGATTGACCCGGATTTATATCTCGATTTAATGTATTGAATTGGATTTACCTCGATTCATCTGCCAGTTACCTAGATTTCTCTGGCTCGATCCCCACAGGTCGATTGGCGAAGAGTCGACAAGCCCTTAGGGAACGGAGAACGGGGGTGCATAATGCAACGCCGCCCCTCCGCTGCGGGCGTCCCGCACAGACTGCGGTTCTGGACGCACTGCGGCAGCGCTGGGGAGGCGCTGGGCGGGGGGAATGGAGGTGGGGGGGGGGGAGCGGGGAGGAGGGCTTACCGCGCGTTCTGGCTCAGAGGTTCAACCATTTTCAGAAAGTGAGCCATGGCCTGGAGTGAAATCTGGGCGGTGTTGGCTCAGTCCGAAGAACAGAGGCGGTCGCGGGTGCCGTCCTGGCGCCTGTGGCGGCGCGCACGGGGCGGGGGCACACAAGCTGGGCGGGATTCTCTATATGAGAAGCCTGGGGGGCTTTTCCAAGGAGGCAGGGGGGCTTCTCAAACGCTACAATCAAAGCTGATAGCAAGGATGTGCGATGCGGGTGCAAGCCCCTTTGGAAGGCCATGTCGACACTTTTCCAGGAGAACTGGCCGCCATCGACGGTGGTTAAGGATGAGCCGAAGAGGCAAAGATTCAAGGGTACCCTTGGGACGGTTATCCGCTGCGGAGGCTTCGGCGCCTGGAGGCTTCGGCAGTCTTGTGAAATCCATTCTGTGGTCGCCTGCACCTCGAACGCTTTCGCCTACGTTGCTGGTGACTTGCCGGATGGACCGCATGTTGCGCATAAACGTGCGAACGCGCAGCGTTGGGCTTGCACTACTACGCCGTCGCGGCGCTTCCTCATAGAGGTTCATGGTCAAGCGCTTCCGTGGCGTTATGTGTTCCTCGCATGGTAAGGGGTATAGGAACGATCGCGCGGGCCCGACAGGTGAACGAGTTCGCGGCTGGCGTCCAACAGGTGAATCCAGACTTCTAGGATTGCTTTCTGCGGTCTTATTTAACACGTTATGAAATTTGAAGTGACGCTCTAGAAGCATGTTGTGCCTGCGTTGGTACGGCATTGAAGAATTTACCTTCGCTCTGCGCTCTGAAATGACAGTCGCACTTATTCAACGCACTTTGCGGTTTCAGAATGTTCTGTATTCTAGAATGCGCTCAACTGTTCTAAAACTAGGTCGGCAATGGAAGATAATAACAAAGATTCAAACGAACAAGCAAAATAATCGAAACACCAAGAACAATCGTCACCAGCCTATTCTTTATCATTCTTGCATGCTCCGCCTGTACAGGGCCATGCCCGACTTGATTATAGCATCTTTTCTGGAATGTTGGAAAAAGTGCGAGTGCATCATGCCCGCTGTCGAACTTCGACCGCTCTGGGTGTTACGGGAGGCGGCCTTGATTGAAGCCTGGAATGGCCCTTCGTGCAGTCGAGCCCTGTGTCCACCTGGTGCGAGCCCGCGTCGGCACAGTAAGCCTCGCTTACCCCGCCTACCGCGCTGTCGCAGTTTAGCCGCAACGGTCTCGTAGAGGAAGTTGACGGGTGGTGATGTTTGTTCCCAATCGGCATTTCGGATTCCACCATCTGCCCCCGACCTAAAGAAAACGCTCGGTCAGAAGCCTACCCTTCCAAGAAAGCATCCGCCTTCTAAGAAACACCTCGCCGTCTTAGGTCTTAGAAGGGTCGACTTCGTGGCTGTCGCGACAGAGACTCAGACGAGGAGACCTGGCCTGGAGTCGGGAATCATTGCGCTCACCGCCAACACTGTCGCCCAAGCGAACAACTTCCAGGCCACCAAAACCGTGATACATTCCACAACACGGGCGTGCGGTCGCGAACACACAAGGTCGATAGCCACTTAATACTTAATTTCAGCCACTGTGCTTTCCGACGTCCTGAGGTTCGCCTGACCGCACCCGACTCGGCGCTGGCGCGTCGTCGGTGCCGTAAATGATCCTCCTCTTGAGCGAAAAGATGCGCCATACATGGTGTCCCCTCGCCTCTTGACTGCGCTACGCGCAAGAGTGACCCTGGGCAAGAATGACTTTTGGTTCGCAGCTTCAGCGGGACGCGGAACGCAAGCAATCCAGCCGCTACTATCGCATCGCATTCGGCGATTGGGGAACCCCGGTGAGCCCGCATCGAATATCACCCAGACGAGTTATCACTCTTACGCGTAGTCGACCGGCGCTCACAGGCCAGATCGGGAGCTCTCGGCGGAAAGGCGGCGTCCTGCGAGCTCCGCAAGAAAGACTGCCTGGTGTCGTTGAGCTGCCGGGCGAGGTCGCCCTCGCGTCTCTCGGCCACGGCCTCCAACGCAGAGATGTTCTCTTGGTCCTGCGCTCGGCCACAGCTAGGACTAGGCCGGAAGAGCTGGAAGAACTGGACCAACGCGCTGATCTTCTGCGTTCTGCCCTCCGACCAGCATCAATCAACATCACATCGGGAGATCGGGTCGAATCGGAATGCACGTCGGATCGGTAAGACGAATCCAAGACGAGGAAACTTTTGAGTGAGGATAAATCCAGAATCTCTGAGATCCGTCGGCTCCGGAGGATGTCTCGGGCGCCGCGGCCTTCTCAGATCGTTCGGGAACTCTCTGAGCGTTCCGGAACGCTCTGGAACGGATTTATCCTCGTCTTAGCCCCGTCTGATATCGGACCGGACTAGCACGGAGTCAGAATCGAAGCGGATCGGCTGCGCCAGGGTACACAACGGCACCATTCGTGCATCTGGCCGCATCTCACCGTCGGAATATCGGAATCGAATCGGATCGAGCCGGCTGGAATCGACATCGACTCGGATCGATCGGATCGAACTTGACTTCGCCCTGCCTCTGACTGCCCCCTGGAGAGGAAAAGAAAAGGAAGGGGTAAGGCCTGTCCGAGAGGAGGGAATGTGGGCGCTGCCCCTGGTACGCGAGAACGCGAGCGCTGCGGTGAGAGGATGGACGACGCCAAGTGCCATCCGTAGACACCGACCCTGGTCAGGCCAATCGTGGGCCCAGGGTTGGCGGATTCACCCTCCTGGCCGAGCCAGGATTGCGTGCACACAGATCCTGGGCCCAGGCTTCCCTGGACAGGATCGGTGCGGCTGGCTGGTTGGTGTCACTCGACGAGGAGGAGGAGGAAAAGGAGGAGGAAGAGGAGGATGAGGAGACGGAGGAGGGGGAGGACGAGGAGGAGGAGGAGGAGGAGGAGGAGGAGGAGGAGGAAAAGGAGGAGGAGGAGGAGGAAAAGGGGGAGGAGGAGGAAGGGGTCACGGCTCGCTCGTGCCGTGGCGACGTCTGCGTTGGCTTCTGCCACCGCGGGGCTCCTGCAACCTTGAGCGACCACGGCTTTCCCACAGCGCTGATCGTCGGACGTCGGCCGATCCCAAGCCACCGGCGGCGGGGTTCGCCGCCGGGTCGACGCGACGCGAAGCTGCCGTGCACCGACCCTGGCCAGGCCAAAGGCGCTGTCCCTTCCAAACCAGGGCTGCGCGCACGCCGGCTGCCAGGTCCCCAGTATCCGCCCGGCCGGGATCGGCGCGGCCGGGCAGTTTCGGGTGCTGCCCACACGGTATCTCTGGCCCAGGGTGCTCCAAGGAAGGAGGCCCCCACGGCCTCCAGAGCAACCCCTCGCGAGGCCCGGAGGGCCCCGGGAGCTTCGACATGGCGCGAAAACCTCGGGACACCTCGGGCCACCAACACGGTGGCAACGCGAGATAGTTGGCTTTCCCCGACAGGGGGTATACAGTCATCGTGCGACCAGAAGGAGTGCTGAGTGACGAACGAGGGTTCTTTTTGGCCTCTGCCACGGATAGGCCCACCGACCCCAATCCGAGGGGCGATCCGAAGGCCAGAGCCCCTCCTGGACCCGGAGTGGCTCGTATCTTTAGCGTCCCGACCTGGTCTCTCGTTCCGCCCGGTCGGGGATGCTCTGGCCCTGGCCAATGCGAGCCCAGGTCAGTCGGGCCTTGCAAGATCCTGCAGAATCTTGCGCGCCAGCCCGGGGCGCTGCACCCCTGACTCTGCAGGATCCTGCAAGATCCGGCGCTCTGGCTGACCTCCGTTTGCATTCACCCCCGCCTCAAGGCTCCCGAGTCTGCGCAGCCTCCCCGAAGCCGGGCAGGGCGAAGCATCGGTCGCTGGAGGCCTCCAAGGTGGGGTCTGAGCAGGTGGGGTCGGAGGATCGCGCTGCGCCGCCGATGCAACGGCGGTGCATCGGCGTTGTTGGCGTGGAGAAGAGCGGGCTCTACATCGAGCCGCATCGCCGATGCTTCGGCGACGCGGCACGCTCCTCTTCTTGGCTTCTTGGCGCGGCGGGTCCCCAGCCGCCGTAGACCTGGCCATCACGTCGCCGCAGCGGCAGGCTGCCCTCCAGCAGGCGAGCGAGGTCGCCGGGTCGGCAGCGCAGCTCTACGAGGACTACAAGCGGTCCTACCTCCACACGGAGGCGCACTGCCCCCAGCAGGGGATCGCCTTCGTGCCAATGGTCGCCGAACGTTCCGGAGGCTGGGGGGCCTCGGGCATCCAGGTTCTGCAGCAGCTCGCACGCAAAGCTCAGGCCCGAGATGGCAAGGCGGCGAGCCTGCACATGCAGGAGTACTTGGAAGGCTTGAGCGTCGCCGTTCGGCGGGCCAGAGCCCAGGCGGTGCTAAAGCGGGCCCCGGGCACGGCGACCGTCGCCCCTGGGGCTGCTGATGCGGCCAGGGCCCTGCTCCATTAGTCGCAGTTGAATTTTTGTATGTCTAGTGTTGTAGGGGTGCTGTGTGGCCTCTGGTGTGCTTCTCGGCCCGCCTTCTTCCTTGCCTTGGCCCCGGCCCGCTCTCCCTCCTCGGCTCCTCGCTGTCCGTTTTTGCCCCTTGCCTGGCCCGCGTTTCTTTGTCGGCCCGCCCCGAGAGCCGCGGCGCCCCGCACTGCCGCGCTGGCGGTAGTTATTTGTCAGCTAGTCTTGCGTTTCAAAGCTTCGATGTTATGGGAAAACACGCACCCCGCAACGATCAGCAAAACCCGGGCCGTTTTGCTAATCGCTGCGGGGTGTGTTTTTCAATAGAAACGTGTTTTATGTGGCTGCAGCGTTGGAGCGTGGACGCTTGAAGCAGCTGCACAGCTCCAGTATATTCTCTGCACTTGTAGTAGGTTATGGCGCGTCGGCCTGTTGAATTCTCAGGCCTGTAGCTGTAATAGCTAGTCAGTTAGCAGCACGATCCTCACGAGCGACGCGCAACATTGTCCGTATCCGCGCACTCGCGGCGTGGATCCCGGGGCGCAGTCCCGCGGATGCGCGTCGAGACGGATGCCATCCGCGCGGGGCGTCCGCGACAAGAGCGCCCCGCACCCGCGGGGACGCGGCCTGGAGGAGGAGGAGAGGAGGAGGGAGGAGGAGGAGGAGGAGGAGGAGGAGGAGGAGGAGGAGGAGGAGGATGAGGAGGAGAGGAGGAGGAGGAGGAGGAGGAGGGAGGAGGAGGAGGAGGAGGAGGAGGGAGGAGGAGGAGGAGGGGAGGAGAGGAGGAGGAGGAGGAGGAGGAGGAGGAGGAGGTAGGAGGAGGAGGAGGAGGAGGAGGGGGAGGCGGAGGAAGAGGAGGAGGGTGAAGAGATCTGACGTTGCAACATAGGCTCGGCACCGCGAGACATCTCGACCCGCCGAGCCCTGGGCCCAACCTCCCCGATCGATCTGCGAGGGCCCCGGGGCCCGAGAGCGAGCGAAGGCGCCCGCTGCGGCAGCACCTCGAGAGATCTCGTAAAGAACCAAACTTCTTGGGCGTGGCTTAATGGGGGGGTCACAAATGGGGGGGTCAGAAAAGGTCCCCTTTCGTGCCCCTTTCGGGCCCCTCCAGAGCCCCAGGGGGCTCGTTTAGGTACCGTTTGGGTACCTTTTCGGGCCACCCTCGCCACCCCCCCATTTATGACCCCCCCATTACGAAACGCCCAAACTTCATACACCGATGTGTTTTCCGGTCCCGCACTGAGATCCGCACAAGAAACGGCATCCTGGTGTGTACGGCATCCTGGTGTGTACGCGTGTCGCTGTTTCCACGGGCAAACAGGGATACAGATATACACCACACCACCCCGACGTCGTCCCCGACCCTCAAAAAGTCCTGGGATTGAAAAACAGCCCGCCACTGGTAATGTATACGTTCCAATGTCCGATCTCGTTTGTCGCCCAGGAATGCCCAGACCTCACCTGCTGAAGAGAGCCCAGAATCGAATCGACCAGTCGGCTCGGAAACCGACGTGAGGCGGGTCGGCGGAAATAGGCAGCCGATTCGGGAGAAGTCGGATCGGCAGACATCGGCAGGCTAGTATGCCTCCAATATAGGAAATCGGAACCCAGATTAATCGGAAAGCCGAATCGAATCGAATCGGAAGACTCTAAAGGAGCCCTACCTGCTCGGAGCCCCACCTCCTCCTCCTCCGCCTCCCTCCTCCTCTTCCTCCTCTTCCTCCTCCTCCTCCTTCGTCCTGCTCTTCCTCCTCCTCCTCGTCCCTCCCTCCCTCCCGCTGGCCGCGGGTCTGGCGCCCCCGCCAGCTATCAGGGGGCCCACCCTGAGCGCACGTCCGTCCGCCACAGAGCTCTCTGATACAGCCGCTCCGCCGTCCTCCCCGACGAGAAGGGAGGCCAGGCCCTGAGAACACAGGCAGCCCGACGCCAGAAAACAGGAGGAAGGCGGAACGCGCGAAAGCGCAAGAACGACGGAACGCAGCAACGCAGGACGGGGCGAAAACACGGCAAAGTGATAGTCATTCAGTCAGTCGGTGGAGCCGCGCCGCAGGGCGCATGGAAGCGCCCCCGAGAAACCAACACTTACCTTGTGCACGCCCTGCGGGCTCGCGCGGGCCCTCCCGAGCGGGACCCCCATCGAGCCACAGGGGCTGCATATGGAAATCTGGCGCTCACACTCCCTCCCTCCCTCCCTCCCTCCCTCCCTCCCTCCCTCCCTCTCTCCTTCCCTCCCACCCTCCCTCTCCCTCTCCCTCTCCCTCTCCCTCTCCCTGTCTCTATCCCTCTCCATATCCCTCCCCTCCTCCTCCTTCTCCTTCTCCTCCTCGTCCTCGTCCTCCTCGTCCTCCTCGTCCTCCCCCGTCCTGATCGTCCTCCCCCTCCTCCTCCTCCTCCTCTTCTTCCTCCTCCTCCTCCTCCTCCTCCTCTTCTTATTCTTCTTCTTCTCTCTTCTCTATTCTTCTCTTATTATTTTCGTCTTCTTCTTCTTCCCTCTCCCCTCTCCTCCTCCTCCTCCTCCTCCTCCTCCTCCTCCTCCTCCTCCTCCCCCTCCCCCTCCCCTCCTCCTCCTCCTCTCCCTCCTCCTCCTCCTCCTCCTCCTTCCTCACTCCTCCTCCTCCCCTCCTCCTCCTTCCTCCTCCTCCTCCTCCTCCTCCTCGCTCCTCCTCCTCCTCCTCCTCCTCCTCTCCTCCTCCTCCTCCTCCTCCTCTCATCCCCCTCCCCCTCTCTCCCCTCCTCCTCCTCCTCCTCCTCCTCCTCCTCCTCCTCCTCCTCCCCTCGAGCTCCTCCTTCTCCTCCTCCTCCCTCCTCCTTCTCCTCTTCCGCCTCCTCCTCCTCCTCCTCTCCTCCTCCTCCTCCTCCTCCTCCTCCTCCCCTCGTCCTCCTCGTCCTCCTCGTCCCCTTCTCCTCCTTCTCCCCTTCCTCCCCCTCCTCCCCTCCTCCTCCTCCCTCCTCCTCCTCCTCCTCCTCCTCTCCTCCTCGAGCTCCGCCTCCTCCTCCTCCTCTTCTCCTCTTCCTCCTCCTCCTCCTCCTCCTCCTCCTCCTCCTCCTCCTCCTCCGTCCTTCTCCCCCGCCTACCCCTCCTCCTCCTCCTCCTCCTCCTCCTCCTCCTCCCCCTCCTCCTCCTCCTCGAGCTCCTCCTCGAGCTCCGCTCGAGCTCCGATCCTCCTCCTCCTCCTCCTCCTCCTCCTCCTCCTCCTCCTCCTCCTCCTCCTCCTCCTCCTCCTCCTCCTCCTCCTCCTCCTCCTCCTCCTCCTCCTCCTCCTCCTCCTGGGAGACCTGGGCCTGCGCAAGCCCTCCCCGTAGGGCCGGGCAGAAGGCTTTGGCGCGCCGTTTGGGCCGTCCTGCGCCAGGCGGCGGCGCAGGCTGCCCCGCTCCGCCTCCTGCGCGCTGCGCAGCACGGCCAGCTGCTGCTGGAGCTGGTCCCGCTGCTCCTCTTGGCAACGCGCAGAGGGGGGCAGGGGGAGGAGGGGAAGCTTCTTGGAAGGAGGCTGTTTCTTAGAAGGCGCCGGCCGTACATTTATAGAGAAGGCCCGCGCCTTCTAAGAAGCAGGGGTGCTTCTAAGAAGCCTTCCCCCCTCCCCCTACCCCCTCTGCGCGTGGCTGATCCTCGGGGGGCGGGCAGAAGCAAGGAGGCGCTCGCGGCGGACTTCTGAGACGGAGCCAAACCGAGAATTTTTCATCGGCCGAGGACCGATCGAGAATCTCGGAGATCTGGCGGCCCTGGAGGATGCCTCAGCCGCCGAGGCCTTCTCAAAGCGTTCCGGAACTCTCTGAGAGAGTTCCCGAACGCTCCGGCACGGATTTATCCTCGTCCTAGCCCCGTCCGTACTTCGGAGTCCGCCCTGACCATCAAGATGCTTGCGGCTGCAGCCCCTGCCAGAGGTCGCGGCGTCACTGGATCGCGTGGCACGGGAGGGGCTATGAGCGAGTGCCACGCCGAGGGCCGCACCTTCGGAGGGCCGCGGAGGTAAGGGGGGGGGCTTGGGAGGGGGGACAGATCCAACTGCGCGAGACAATGCTGCGGGGGGGTCCTGTGGCTCCGAACCAGGGGTCACTCAGGCAAAGGGTCGCGCTCACGTGTAGCCGACTCTGCTGGTCTGTCGTTTTTCGTTGCCGTGGGCCATGGCAGTCTGTGAACTGCTCAGAGTCTCTTCCCTCTCCTCCTCCTTCTCCTCGTCCTCCTCCTCCTCCTCCTCCTTCTTCTCCTCCTCCTCCTCATCCTCCTCCTCGTCCCACGTTTCCTCCTCATCCTCCTCCTCGTTCTCGTCCTCCTCTGCGTCCTCGTCCTCTTCGTTCTCCGCCCTTTCATCTTCGTCCTGTTCGTCCGCCTCCATCCCTCCTCAAGCGCCAGCTGGGACAAGCGGGGCTGCTTGCATGCCCATTTTTCCCGCCGCCCTCGTCTGCCCCCGCGTCTGTGGTGTACCATTCGCCACGTTGCAATCCAGTCTCGGCTCTCTTCTGCGCCGCGCGGTCGCGTGGCGCCGCGAAAAGCAAGAATGACTGGCCCGTTTTTGCACGGCGCTGGATGGAGAAGGTACGCAGGCACGCGGGGGTCGATGCCTGGCTTTGGGGGGGAGCAAGGGTGACAGTCTGCCTGTCAGCCAGCCAGCCAGCCTCGAAGCCTCCAGTCGACGTGGCCCACGGGCATCTAAGCAATATTGCTTGTTTTTTATTGTTGGCACCGTCATCATTCTCAAGCACACACGCACGAGCATTCGCATTTTCACCACCTGATCCACATCGTCTCATGCTGTCCCAACAAGTCGATCGAACATCGATCGAGACACAGTTGTCAAATCCATACGGGTACACTTGGGACACTGTTGGGGAAGCCTTGAACACCAATCAAAGCGAAATCAAAACGCAATCGGAACTCCGTCGGGATGCAATACGATGTCCACTGGATGCGATAGGGCCATACACACGTATGGCTTGGCCACTTGCGCATATCAAACGATCATAAGCACATAAACATGTAACGGATATGCAGTGACCACCATCGGCAATTGCACCTGACAACACCTTTCCAGAACACGCAATGTGTGCCTGGTTCGCCAGTGCCATGAACCCTTCGTCTACATCTCTGCATGGCAGAGGGACCACAATTAAGCTGTCGCCAATCAACAGAGAACACAAGGCAACAAACCTGACCAGCGCCTTGCGCATAATGCGTCAATCATGTGGGATCGGTCCGCGGCACACCTCGACAATGACGTAAACAGATCGTGGGGCCAAGCCTACCGGCTGGGCCAGAACCTTTCTCCTCCTCTCCTCCACCTTCGGGGACAGGCGCAGGGAAGCCCACCCTGCCCACATCTTCCTCTGCATGGCCGCTGCCGCGTTCGATCGCCTTCTCTGGTCACACCTGCAGCCGCACGTCGCTCGGGTCAGCCGGCCAGGGCCATAACGCGGCCCAACCATGAAGTGGCCCCCAACACCTGGCCAACAGAGGGAGGGGAGAAGGTGGGGGCGGTGGCTCTATGGCTTCTACTGACCTGGTCAATGCGAGACCAGGTCAGTCAAGCTTGGCAGGACCATGCAAAATCCTGCAGGATCCTGCGCGCTAGCCAGGGTCGATACAACTCTGGCTGACCCCCGTTTGCATTGACCCCCGCCTCTCACAGCTCGAGGCTCCACGTGGCTCCTAAACCCAGGAGATCCCAGAAACGAATCGATAAATCGGATCGGCGATCGACATGAATCGGACGGCGGAAATCGGCAGCCGAGTCGGGAAAAGTCGAATCGGCGGACATTGCAAGGCTTGTATGCCTCCAATGAAAAACGGAGCCCAAATCGGAAACTCAAGTCAAATCGAATCGGAATCGGATGCCATCGAAATCGAATCGAATAGAATCGGAGGAATCGAAACGAGCCCTGTAAACCCGTGTCAGCCACAAGGGTTCAGCCGTGTAAGCCCGTGCTGGCCCCCAGTCAGCGCTGACCATCGCTGCGTGCGCCCCGAACACATGGGCGCCCTGCTGCGCGCGGGTGTTCCTGGAGAACCGCTCTAACAGATGCCTCCTGGATTCGGGGGCGCGCAAACATGGATTAGCGATCCATGGATTTGGCGCGCGGTCGCCAAGTCCATGGATCGGGGGAGGTGCCCTCCCCAAAATGCGGCCGGCGCCGCCTCGTTCCGTGGCGGGAATCCTCGATTTCCCATGGAAACGGAAGCCGTCGCTAATCCACGCCCCCTTGATCCACGTTTGCGATCGCATGATAGATGGGGTCGAGGATGAGGCCCAAATTTAAGCGAGACGGACGAGGAGGCAGGCCGGAGCTGGCCACACACGCAAGAGTGGACCCTGGACAAGCTAGGGCCGACCTTTGGTGCGCGGCCTGTCGATCGCGGCGCGCGGTGTGGCAGCAGCGGCGCGCGTGCTTGGGCTTTTGGCTCCCCCGCGCGCGCGCAGCGGGGCTTTTGTCTCCCCCGCGCGCAGACGGAGAGAGGGAGGAGGAGGAGGAGAGGGAGGAAGAGGAGGAGGAGGAGGGGGAGGAGGAGGAGGAGGAGGGGGAGGAGGAGGAGGAGGAGGGGGAGGAGGAGGAGGAGGGGGAGGAGGAGGAGGAGGCTCCCTGAGGTCACTCCGACGAAGGGCACCTGCAGCCGACGGAGGGCCGCGGCACGGCCCGACCCACCACGGGGCTCTGCCGCCCCACCCCCCAGGAGAGCACAGAATCGAGGATACATCGGATCGGCGATCGACGTGACTCGGATCGGCGGAAACCGGCAGCCGCGTCGGGAAAAAGCGGATCGGCGGAAATCGGCAGGCTACCAGGCCTCCGTTGAGAAGTCAGAGCCCGAATCGGAATCACGAGTCGAATCGAATCGGAATCACGAGCCCTGCCCCCCCCCCCCCCCATACAGAGCGGCTCCTCGGCGGTCCTGCTGACGCTCTCCTGCGAGGCGAGCGCCTGGGATGTAATCGGGGCGGGCGCACGGGGAGGATAGCACAAGGGGGGGGGGAGGAGGAGGAGGAGGGAAGGAGGAGGAGGAGGAGGAGGAGGAGGAGGAGGAGGAGGAGGAGCAAAGAAGGCTTGAGGCTTCAGGCTTGGTCCGGGAACCTTGCCGATGCGCTTCCCTCTGTGCCCTCGCGGGTTTCTCCACTCTCCCTCCTTTTTTAGTTCTTTCAATGCCTGTGGCGTGCACGCGCTGCTCGTATCATAATGTTGTGTTCGCGCGTGCGCGTGTCATTGTTGACGCAAAAGGAGGACCAGCGTAAACCCCGGGTGCGCCAACGATGCCGCAATACGCCTCCCGACCCAAGTCCCCGACTCGGAAGTCCATACACATCTAATTATATTGCGGGTCAGCGTCTGGTGGGCCTGCCTCGCGAGCGGGACCCCGTGTGCAAGATCCACCATCGACCCCTGCATCTAAAAAGAGTACTGGATCCGATAGAGCGTCCAACGATCGCCCTGCTTGAACCAAGACCTCCCCTCCATCCGTGGCAGGACTGCGTAAGTTGAAAATGTCGATCAAAAAACTAAGGTCTCAAACGATAATCCCACTTCGAAGAGAGGAACTACCCTCCGTCCCATGGGTTCACGCGAGAACCGCTGTTCAAAACTGCCAAGACTTCATCCTTGTAGGTGATGGGAGCTGTTGAGCCGAGCGTGCGCGGCGCTGGCGCGAGAGCCGCATGTGGAGGACTGCGCGCCCCCGCCCATTCTTTCTCTAAAACGGGTTTGCGCGGCGCTAACGCGACAGCTGCATTGTCAACACGTGCCGACCTCCAAGCTTGTGACTGTTGGAAGACTCTCACACGAACGTGCGCGGCGATGCAACAAGAGCCGCACGTGGCAAGCCACCGCCCTTCATCACTGAAGCGGTAAAGACGAGCGCGCGCGGCGCTAAAGCAAGGGTCGCTGAGTTGGAGTTTGCTGAATTTCAGACGTCCCGAACGGAACGCGAGCTTGCTCCCTTTTGCCAACATGACCTTATAAGGCGTCCCGAGCGAAACAACCAGCCCAGCCCAAGGACACGCCTGGCGATGCGACAGAGGATGACAAGGAAGACAACCTCCTCCTCCTTTCGCCCCTGCTCCCTCCTTCCCTCCTCCTCCTCCTCCTCCTCCTCCCCCTCCTCCTCTTCCTCCTCCTTTCCTCCTCCTCTTCCTCCTCCTCCTCCTCCTCCTCCTGCTCCTCCTCCTCCTCCTCCCCTTCCCCCCCTGCCCCCATCCCTCCATCCCTCCCTCCTCTGTACCCCCCGCGCGCCCCCCCTTTCTGGGGAGGGCAGGGGCCTGCTGCAGCCGCTGCCCCTCCGAAGCCGCGGCCGCGGCGGCCGCGTGCTCCGCCTGCGGGGAGGGGCGCGCCGATCGCCCCGAGCCTCCCCGTGGCGAAAATGCGGGCTGCAGCTCTTGCGGAGGAGGAGGAGGAGGGAGGAGGAGGAGGGAGGAGGAGGAGGAGGAGGAGGGAGGAGGAGGAGGAGGAGGAGGGGAGAGGAGGAGGAGGAGGAGGAGGAGGAAGGAGGAGGAGGAGGAGGAGGAGGAGGAGGAGGAGGAGGAGGAGGAGGAGGAGGAGAGGGAGGAGGAGAGCAGGAGGAGGAGGGAGGAGGGAGGGAGGAGGAGGAGGAGGAGGAGGAGGAGGAGGAGGAGGAGGAGGAGGAGGAGGAACAGGAGGAGAAGGAGGGAGGAGGGAGGAGGAGGAGGAGCAGGAGGAGGAGGGAGGGGGGAGGAGGAAGAGGAAGCCTCTGGGGCACAGGCGCCTGCCTGAGGTAGGGCCACCTGCTTGCACTTGCGAGCCGCGGCTTTCCTCCTTGCCTTCACGCGCGCCATGGTCTTAGCAGCCAGGGTCCAGTGGATCATCCAGGAGCTGGCGAATGGCAGGTAAGGCGTCGTCAAGCTGTGCAGCCACAGCGGCAAACTCATCAATCAGGTCTTCCTGTTCCTAGTCTGGGAGCCGACTATGCGGAATGGCGTTGCGTTCCAGGCGGCCGTTTTCGAGCACCAGCATCGGGACTCAGTTGCTAACGATCAGGTTGGCCAACTGTTGTGCAACCTTGATGCTCAAGAAGGGCAGCCAGGGTGACAGCGCTCTTCCTGCTTTTATTCAGCGACAAAGCCGCCTTCGACAAGGGGTACTGCCACATGGCCGCCAGGAGCCCTGATATCGTTTACCAGTGAGTGCCCCTCAGTAGTGCTCTTGCTGCCTCGACTCGCTGTGTCCCCGTGCCTCTTGGGGTCGGTCTGCGAGGCTGGAGACTGACGTTGCCCATGTCCATGGCTAGAGACTGACGTTGCCGATGCGCCCTTCCCTCTGCACCCCACGTCTGCTGGGTTGCGCTTCCCATCAACGCTGCATGCGCCCCCGCGATTGTTGGGGTTGCGCCTCCGGTCAGGGTTTCTCGTTGCACGTGCTACTCGATCCTTCGGGCGAGCGCGCTGGTTCCGTTTCCTGCGGGCGAGCACGGACTGCGATTATTTTGCACGATGCGTGGGCACCTCACACGTTCGCCTTGAGGGTGTAGGAAGAGGGGGGAGGAGGAATAGGAAGAAGATGAGGAGGGGGCGGAGGCGGATGGAGGAGGAGGAGGATGAGGAGGAGGATGAGGAGGCGGAGGGGGGAGGAGGAGGAGGGGGGATGAGGGAGGAGGAGGAGGAGGAGGAGGCCAACCAGCGGACTAAACACACACAACGGTAGCAACCTACCACACCGGTAGCAAACTACCAACAACTGTACTCATCGGTCAGAAGATGCAGGTAGAAACATGAAGCGGGAAGGTGTTGAAAGTAGCTTGGGTGTCCGCCCGCCCCCTGACGAGGACGGAAAAGGTGAAGTCACTCGATCATTGAAGTAGGAAGGCGAGTAAAATAGTTTGGAATCTGGGAATCCCAAAATGCCGACCTTCAACGACCAATGGGTACTCAGCGCCGTGACTGCACCGATACCGCCACTCCCCAAACCTCTCCATGGGCGCGCCCAGGACAGAATCTCCAGGGGAACCCGGCCGTGGCGAAGAGGGCGCGAACGACGGAAGGGCAGCGGCAGCGGCACCAGCTCCGCCTCTGACCTCCTCTGGGCCCGAGCATGCCCAGGGGATTACGAGTACGAGTACGACTACGATTACGGACGAGGGGGGCGGGGGTAGGGGTAGGGGTCAAGCTAGCCAGCTCGAGCGAGTCAAGCATGGCATGCCCATTCCCACCCGCCCTCCCACAACATAAGAAACAGTGATGGCACAACTAGGGGCTGCGCGGGCATTTCAGTGTCGCAGGTCCCAGAGCGCTGACTTCCAGGTCCCAGAGCGCCCCAGGAACGCCCCAAGAGAGCCGAGACGCCCCCGAGACGATCCGAGGGGCCTCGAGTCGCCGAAAGATCGTTCCAAGACGCCCAAAAGGATGGCCTCCAGACGGCCGCAGACGCCGCCAAGAAACCGCGGGGAGCCTCAGGAGGCCCTCCAAGAGCCTGGACAAGCAAAAACCTCCCATGCTTTCGTCACCCCAGGGCCTCCTTGAACGCCCCGGCGCCCAATGAATTGGCGAGCTAAAAACGTGCGCCGAACCAAAGCGGGAGCGCAACTTTGAGAAAATTTCGCTCGGCGCCCAAGCGGGAAGGTCATTTCATTCACTTCGAGCGGGGGGGGGGTGCCGCGCCCAATTCTTGCCATGCACTTTTGCGGGGTGGACGACAAGAACAGCTATGTGGGCAGGGAAAAACAGCATGGCATTGTTTCTGACAAGTAAGGTGGCCCCTCCCGCCTTGGGGTTACCCCAGAAGTCCGCGCGCGATGTGCGCCGCGCCCCATTCCTGCCACGCATTTCGCATCGTCGACGACAAGACAGGCCATGATGAAAGGAAAAACGGCAACTCTGCCTTGCATTTTACAGTTAGGATGGGAGGGCCCGCGGCCCGCATGGACGTCTGCGCGAGATGTGCGCCGCGTCCCAATCCTGCCACATATTTCGCACGGTCGGCGACAAGGCAGGCCATGCTGAGAGGAAAAAACTGTGATTTTGTATGGATATTTGATATTCAGGATGGGCGGGCCCGGATTGACGGCCGCGCGCGATGTGCGCCGCGTGCCATATGTGCGCCGCGTCCCATTGCTGCCACATATTTCGCACGGTCGGCGACAAGGCAGGCCATGCTGAGAGGAAAAAGCGAAGACTTAGTATTGATTTTTACAGTCAGGATGGGCGGGCCCAGATTGACTGCCGCGCGCGATGTGCGCCGCGTCCCATTCCTGCCACGCTTTCGCATCGTCGACGACAAGAAAGACAATGTTGAGAAGAAAAACGGCCACTTTGTATTGATCTTTTACAGTCCGGATGGGAGGTCCCGGATTGCGTCGCTATCGGCCGGAATACGAGGTAGGTGGGGGTATATTCTAATAAGGAACAAGGATAGGGGTAGGGGTAGGGGTAGGAGGGGGAGGGGGAGAGTGGAGGAGGAGGAGGAGGAGGATGGAGGAGGAGGAGGAGGAGGAGGAGGAGGGAGGAGGAGGGAGGAGGAGAGGAGGAGGAGGGAGGAGGAGGAGAAGGAGAGAGGAGGAGGAGAGGAGGAGGAGGGAGGAGGAGGAGGAGGAGGAGGAGAGGGAGGAGGAGGAGGAACGGTGCCGCGCCGCGAGGAGCGCCCTGGACAGGAGGCAGGCGCAAAGGGCGGCCGGAGGCCACGGCGGTCGGCCTGCAGCTGCCGCTGCAGCCTCACCCTCTCGGCGGCCTCGGCCTCCGACTTCTCATGCTCCGCCTGCCAGGCGTCGCGCGGCGCCTCCTCCTCCTCCTCCTCCTCCTCCTCCTCCTCCTCCTCCTCCTCCTCCTCCTCCTCCTCCTCCCTCTCCTCCCTCCTCTCCTCCTCCCTCTCCTCCTCCTCCTCCTCCTCCTCCTCCTCCCTCCTCCTCCCTCCCTCCTCTCCTCCTCCTCCTCCTCCTCCTGTGCCTGTGCCTGTGCCTGCCTGTGCCTGTGCCCCTGTGCCTGTGCCTGTGCCTGTGCCTGTGCCTGTGCCTCCTCCTCTCCTCCTCCTCCTCATCCTCCTCCCCCTCCCCCTCCCCCTCCTCCTCCCCCTCCTTCTTTCCTCCTTCCTCCTCCTCCTCCTCCTCCTCCTCCTCCTCCTCCTAGAAGCTAAGCTGTCCTGTGCCCGAGCTCGGGCATGGCACACGCCAACTTCAGAATGGCATTGCGTGTGCGAGCATTGTCTGGCTCACAGCTCTTCCCGAGCGCGCGATGGGAGCGAAGCGTGCTTCCTGGGCTAGGTCGTGCGCATCGTCTACGCGGGGTGGTACTTACAGTGGTGTTAGTCAATTATTTTGGCGCCGCCAGCCGTGGAGGTCAGCACCAATGTCTCGTGCTCGTGCTGCGCGTGTGCTGGACTCCGCGGCGGAGGCCGACGGGGAGTGGCACAATCGACTCTGGAGGTGTGAATGATATGAGTGTGGGAAGAACCTGGCCGGTTACCAGACATTCGAACATGGTGGGGCACGCAGGCACGAAGGCAGCCGGTGGTGCGAGGAAGAGAAGTAGCCCGAGCTTCCCCGTCGTCCTGGCCCGCGTCGCGACATTACCCGTCGTGGTGCCTGGCGGCGGTGGAAATGTGGTGCAGGCTGGACTCTTAAAGGACGAGCTCCGAACGATGGTCGGCCTGGCCAAGAGAGTGCGGCGACACCTACGGTGCAGCCAAGCACGAAGCAACACCATGAAACGCAAGGTTGCCCCAGTCCGTCCACCTCAGCCGAGGGCCAGCAAGGCCCACGCCGAGGTGTTGCAGCTGGATAGGAAGTTTGGGACGCTATGTGGACACATTGGAAACATTGTCTCAACATATTGGTGATCCGCGTGCTGAGGTCACGGCAGCAAAAGATGACCTCCCCGTGGCGGATGATGAATAAAAGGTCGGTGGTCCACGAATTGGGAGGAGACGCCATGTCGCCCATGCTTGGCACAGCGCCAGCTCGGCGCATTCGAATAGAAGACATTGTTTCGGGCAGAGCGGACGCAAGTGCCTTCGTCAAAACGGATAATGCATTTGATATCGATGAGTCGGATTACGTGCTGCCCCCACTTGATGTCAGTCAACTCACGGCCAGGAAGGAGGCGCTCAACACTCAGCTACGCGAAGTTGAAGCTATATTGCTTGCAAGGGCGATGGGCGAGGCGAAGGAGCTCAAGGCTGCTCATGCTCAGGCTGGCCTCCAAGCGCCGCAAGGTATATGCCAATACCCCTGTGGAGGCACCCCCCCAAGATCATGTTGCTGAAGCGGGCTCCGCAAACAATGGCAATGGATCGGGCGGCGCATCGGCGTCAACCGCGTCGGCTGCATCGAGAGGTGACCGTCCACAGGTGATGACAGACTTGAGCGTGACCCGAACGACGTCAGAGCTATGGCCGAGAGGGCCCTGGCCACGTCGAGTCAGGCAGCCCCCCTCCCCCTGCCGTTGCACCCTGCTTGCTCGGAGAAAGCTGGCGGGGGGGGAAGGCTCAGAAATCGACGCATTGTGGCTTCAAGTGGTGAATCGTCTTAAACTCCGTAAGTTCCGTAAGTGCTGACTGCGAGCTTTGATTCAGGTCACGAGCGATGCTTTGTCCCAAGGGGTTCCTTGCGTGGTACCTAGTTAGGCCTGGCGGCCAATCCTCCCGCCTACCCCCGCAAGACGGTTCAGGTGGCGTCGGTCGTGAGTCTTGATGTGTTTCAACCAAAAGTGTACCCAAATGCGGGCCAACGGGAATGAAGTACGTGCACGTGCAACTGCACGGCTTGGAGCTTGGTCCAAGACTAGTTGCTCGTGTGCGAGTCCCACATTGTCTTCTCCAGGAACATCGCTTGGTCGCTGATCGGATCGCTGATGCCTAGCGGTGGGCGCCACAGAGAGGACGGGGCGCCATGTTCGAGCCAGCGCGTGCGTGCTCAGCCTCTGGCATTTCTAGTGGGGCGGCGGTGCTGTGTCATTCGTTTTTCGATGTGCCTCCTCCTTCTACTTGCAAGACCCTGGCGCCCCGCACCGATATGGGGCCATGGCTGCCAAAGTGGATATCCCCGATCAAGACCTGTTCATTGCGTTGACTTCCTACCTGCATGGCTGCCAGGAGTTATCGGATAATTCTGTGTTCATCGTGTACAAAACAGGGGGTGCGGTCGCCAGCTCGATCTCCCCCTTCGTCATCGGAAGGGGGCTTCAACATGGAGCCCGCCAACCTCAGCTCGTGCAGATTTGTCGAGGAGCTGCGAGGCCAAATGTTGTTCTGCAAAATGTGGAACGTGCGCCACGACCGCTGCTTCTGGCCGGAACAACTATGACGACTTCATCGTGTCCAACGGGCTATCTAGAGAAGTACGGGATGGCAATGTTCAAAATTTGGCCCCCCCCGCTCCTTGCCCCCCTGCCGCGATGAGGCCCCGCGAAAATCTGTATAGACTCAGGGCCACGTCTGTCCGCAAGCCTCCCCTCTAGCGCCCCGGTTGGTCCATGCCCTCAGCCTCCGTCGTGGGAGGGAATAGGACGGCAAGAAGGGGATGCGCTCGAGCTGGCCAGGTCGGGGGATGTGGCGGCTCGCCCAGCGCTGGCTGAGCTTTGCAAGGCATGGGCCAACCCTGCCGACGCAGGTCGAGTTGCCGTCTGGGCGCAGAGGGGGGAACCCTCAAGTTTGGGTGGATATTCGCAGGACGGATAAGAGATCTGCGCGCCACCCCTTTCTGTTCGCTGTTCGGTGGTGGGCGCGGTCGGTTTCTCAATGGCCTTTGGTGACCCCACCTGGCCTCAGGCAGGCCTCGCTGATTTGACCACGAGGGAACCCTGCTCGGACGTTTCGGGGTGGGGGCGTGCGCTGATCTACCCAAGCAAGATTTTGGCTGACGAGCTTGAGCGTGCGGAGTTCCAGCCGTTGTTACAAGAAATCCAGCGTGTCGTCCTGACGCTGAGGCGCTCCTTGTTAAGCTAAGGCGCTTCTTGTGAAGCTGAGAAATAAGGGGGGATGAGGAGGAGAAGGAGGAGGAGGAAGAGGAGGAGGAGGAGGAGGGGGAGGGGAAGGTGGATACGATACGATACGACACACTTACGATCCACCGGCAGCCGGACTGGCAACGCAATGCTACACATAAGAGAAGCGGAGCCTGGATGTACATCTGCTGGATCTGTGTGCGCTGTCGAGAGCGTCTGTCCAGATCGCTCTGCGGGGGGATGCCTCTGGCCAACTCCGAAAGCCTCCGAGAAAGGGGGAAACCGGGAGGCCTCGGCTAGGCACCGCTCCACAGTTGAGCGCACAAGCGACGTCGAGAGGCCACTTGCATGTATTTTGAAAAGAATGAACCGATGCGACTACACACACGCACGAATGCTGCACGTGCGCACCTGCAACAGAAAGTGGGCTCAGAACAGAAAGTGACATCCGGTCCCGAAGGCCACCCAGTCCCACCTCATGGCTGGGGATTGGAAGTCCTGTCATCATCGCCCAAAGCTTGCGAAGACAACTGATGCAACTCAGACGTGACACGCGTGCTCACAAGTCTATGATGTGCCTGATCATCAGAAGATACAATTGCAAATTGAGGGTCCACCCGCATCTGCATAGCTCGGACCTGAGACGTTCGCCTGGCCAGGTCAACCAGAGACATAGCAAAATGCAACTGATCTCCATGAGAAACTCTGAATTCCTGCCAGACGGAGTCTGATATCTCAAGATTGGTTCAGCACACCCATGCTGCAGGCTGTGTAAGCCAGTCTGTTGTAGAAGGCCATCACGAGCCATCTGGACCATGCGTGCTGATCCTTTGATAGTGACCAGCGTAGCTAACCCAGCTCCTCGCCCTCGTCCCCGCTGAGCTGCTCGCCCTGGCTCCACCATGATGAACAGCAGGGGGGGGGGGGGGGGGGGGGGGGGGCGTCCGCCCACCCCTCGATGAAGGTTTCTGAAGCGCGGGAACCTTCCGCGACCCTGCCGGTCGAAGGCAAGGTTATCTCGGAGCCCATGACGTTGCCGCAACAAGAAAGTGCCAGGCCTGAGAAGCTGTGGATGTCCGTCTCCACGCTCGAAGGGCATCCCTCGTTTGAATCGTTTGATCATTTGGATCCCCTCCCCAAGATTTCGGCTGAGACCCTCAGGGCCACTAGCCGAGGGTGCACCGCGCGTTCGGCTGTGTCGGTGGCTGGCTTCGCCTACTGATGCTGGCGACGTTGCCGAAACTCGATGGCGGGCTGAAGCCCATCGGGATGTTCGCGTCGCCCCACCGTCACGGGGGCAAAGTCCAGAAGGCGTATGCGCTGGAAAAGGAAAAATCCCACAACCGGCCGCGATTTGCGGGCTTTGGTTTCAATCATGCTTCTGGCGTCGCGTGCCGTCTCAGTCTGACTACCCACTGGTCGTAAGAAGTAGGTAGAACCATGAAGTAGGAAAGCGTTGAAAATAGATTGGGTTCCGTCAACCCCCTTTGGGCGGACGGAGTAGGTGAAGCCACTCGACCATTGAAGTAGGAAGGCGCTCGACGTAGATTGGAATATGGAAATCCAGACAATACCTACTTGCAACGACCGACGAGTAGAACCACTCCAATGGGCAACGGGCCGCCGCCCTCCGTTGGGATATGCATGCGTTCTACGGGTACACTACCTTAGACGACCTCCAAGATCGGTGCTCGTTCCATGGGCTATCTCCTGCCATTTGGCGCGCGCGTGCATTGGTGCGCGCCGCGGTGCTTGAGGCGCCCAGGTGGCGGGGCATCCGTTGGGTCCGTGCGTCAGGGCGGCCAGAGGTGTGATAGC